CACAGTCTTGATACAGACTCCTTTCTGATGGCACTGCTTTGTTTTATCTCTCGTAGAGGTAAGCCATCTGAGCTACTTTCAGATCAAGGCACTAATTTCAAAGGTGGGGAAAGAGAACTCCAGGAAGCCTTTAAAGCCTTGAATCCTTCCTTGCAAGCACATGTAGCATCTGCTTAGGATCATTGATGATTGTTTAGGCTTTATGTCTTAGAGACCCTTTTGACATTTGCATATAAATTACAGACATGGCCCCACATTCTACATTTTTATGGGTGCTAAATTTCCAATGGTTCCCCCCACTATCAAGAAGATGCTAAACAGATCAACTCTCTGGTCTCCCCATCACACATCTGCTCGGTGGACGGACAGATCAGATAATTGTAATATCAATTCTGCTACAGTTAATTCTAAGATCTAATCTAAATATTCATTATTAATTATAACCAGTTATAATTAATCATAAATATTTCCCTTTTGAGCTAATTTGCTACATACAACTGGCAAAAGAACAAATCCAGTTGAAATTCAACCCCCCAGCAGTCCACACTTTGGAGGAGCTTGGGAACGAGAAATAAGATCCATTAAGTCTGCACTATATGCCACTTTGCAAAGTCAAAGCATGACTGAGGAGGTATTAAGGACAGTGCTGATTGAAGTGGAAGGAATCTTAAACTCAAAACCTCTGGGTTATGCATCAACTATGCAGACCCCAATCCTATCACACCCAATCTTCTCCTTATGGGGCGGCTCGACCCATCGCTCCCCCAGGCTGTCTACCATGAATCAGAACTTTTAAGTCGTAGTAGATGGAGACACACACAAGTCCTCGCAGATCAGTTTTGGAGACAATTCATCAAGTATTACCTTCCTAAACTACAGACCCATTCCAAGTGGCAGAAAGACACTGATTACTTAAAGCCTGGCATGATCGTGATGATCCTAGACCCTCAATTACCCAGAGCTGTCTGGCCAGTAGGACAGATCACCAATGTTATCCCAGGAGCTGATGGTAGGATTAAGACAGCAGAGGTCAAAATAAAAGATAAAGTATACACCAGACCAGCAGCTCGTCTTATTAAATTACCATCCATCCATAACACTGACAAAACGGAGACAAGTCCTTCTAAATAAAGGCGAATTTGACTGTGCAAATTTGGGGGTGGCTGTTGTGAAGGACTGTGATAACTAATAACAGACATTGAAAGCTATTGGTGGGTTTTTTAATTGACAGCTGGAACTACGAATCAGTACAGCTTTAACGGCAATACTGTATGCTTGTGTACAAAGATCGCGATTCAGCAATTGCTATTCTTCTTGTGTGAATTAATGTGATTATGATTGTTTACAACAGCTGTTTACATGCTTATCAGACCGTTATGTGGATTATATGCTTAGTTGCACGCGTACGGATAAATGCCTCGATTAAAGGGGTTATATGATGCGATTTAAATTTTTCCTTTCTCTTTGGAGTGTTACAAGCTCTTGGTGCATAAAGAAGATCTGTAAAGTTGCAAAGACTAAAGTCTCAAATCCAAAGAGATATTATTTATAAAAGTTAAGACTTGTCCACGCCCTCCTAAAATGACTCGTTTAAACACGCCCCCACATGTCTACATCACTATGTGGGAAGATTTGCATAACACCGCCCAAATGTTCACGCAAAGAAAGAAAGCGTAACTTTTATTCTAGGACAGATCACCAATGTTATCCCAGGAGCTGATGGTAGGATTAAGACAGCAGAGGTCAAAATAAAAGATAAAGTATACACCAGACCAGCAGCTCGTCTTATTAAATTACCATCCATCCATAACACTGACAAAACGGAGACAAGTCCTTCTAAATAAAGGCGAATTTGACTGTGCAAATTTGGGGGTGGCTGTTGTGAAGGACTGTGATAACTAATAACGGACATTGAAAGCTATTGGTGGGTTTTTTAATTGACAGCTGGAACTACGAATCAGTACAGCTTTAACGGCAATACTGTATGCTTGTGTACAAAGATCGCGATTCAGCAATTGCTATTCTTCTTGTGTGAATTAATGTGATTATGATTGTTTACAACAGCTGTTTACATGCTTATCAGACCGTTATGTGGATTATATGCTTAGTTGCACGTGTACGGATAAATGCCTCGATTAAAGGGGTTATATGATGCATTTAAATTTTTCCTTTCTCTTTGGAGTGTTACAAGCTCTTGGTGCATAAAGAAGATCTGTAAAGTTGCAAAGACTAAAGTCTCAAATCCAAAGAGATATTATTTATAATGTGGAAAATAATGTGTTTTTTTAACCTTAAACCACATAAACACATTGCATTACACCAAATACACAACATAATGTTCTTTTTAACAATGTCATATGACCCCTTTAACGTTCTAAAATTGCACCGTCATGTTGTTTACATAAGACCGCTGGAATGCCGTTAATGACATCAGCGGGCCTGAAGTACTTCAAAGCACTAATAGTAATCAATATGCCAAAAACATGGTTACTAGCCTACACTTTTACTACAATAAAACCATGGTTATTTTTTGTAAGGGTATCATTCACATAGCCTACAAGTGTATAAAGTTAGACACAATATTTTTTTTAATTAGCAGACAAAAGGTCAACATCACTCAGTGGCAATATACAACAAATAGATGCACCGTAACGAACGATTTACTTTAAATTGGTTGCGATGCATCATAGCGTCTGGTGTGCTCAGATTATTAATTGCTAAATTCAATGAACGACTTAACTTACTTGTCTGTAATAATGGCCGTGTTAAAAACACTGTTTGCGTCACGAATCACTTAATTAATCTTTTGTCTAGAATCAGTGCTTCAGATCAAGTAAAACGTTAACCACGTTGGTCACGTCCAGAGCTTTAGTCACGTCAACCACACTTCGCTACATCATTTTGGAAACCTCAGTGGTTCGACGCTATAGGGCGATTGATCTCAAGTGAACCCATGGACCAGTATTACATGTATGATTGTAATTGATTTTGAATCAGTTTTTTTTTAAAAGTTTATTAAATTCAAGTAGAATTTTGTAGTTTTGTCTGTGAACCAACACACTTGCATTTACACCGCTTTAAACAGTAGATGTCCTCAGCGTGCGGGGGTTCCAGCGCTTTGCAACATTGAATCGTTTTGTGAAACAGTTTATTCGAATTTTGATTCGGAAAGCCTGCACACCCAAAGCCATTGGCTGAGTCAACTTTTCGTGATTTCTTTATGCAATGTCTGATTAGAAATGATAAATTGTCATATCAAGAAATGTGTTATTGTCTTTTAAAAATCACTCATGGAATAGCAAAGTGTTCTCTAGTTGCACCTGCTCTTTCATGAATAGTACCGGTTCATATCCTATCGTGTGTCCTAATATGCATTCTTCCCTACTATATAGCAGAAAAAACAGTAGCCTATGTGAAATGAGAAGTGTTCATAAAACAATACCAGAAGTACCCTGATGACCTAAACCTACTACTTCTGTCGAGTTTCCTAAGTCCCATGAGGCCATAGAAGATGAGTTGTAAATAGCAGTGAAGCGACTGACGCCGTAAGTCACATGACACTGACAGCATAGAGGGGCGTAGAACATCTGAACTTCATTCATACTAAACACATTCAAACTATATAGAACATACTTTTTTTAGTTCCTCATCAGATGTAATACCTACTCACAGTATGCAATTTTGGAAATACTGTTTTTTGAATACTACTAGTGAAGTAAGCATATTCTGAGATGAGAAGCTCTTATTTATGGGTTCAAACACCAACAGATGGTATGAGTCTGTGATAATAAAACTGACCAGTCCAAAAGGTTAGAGGACAGGGCTGGTGGCTATTGACCCCAACCAAAAAGGTCACATGCAGTCACTGGCAGCTAAGTGGAAGTAGCTAAACATACGACAACTCAGCAAATGCTTTGTTGTTGTTTTTTTCAGTGCTTTATCCCTTTATCCCAAACACATTTTGGAGGCAAAGTGCAACCAGTCGAACATTCTGTCAGGGAGGTACAGAAAAGGTAGTGGTCTGGTCCGTATGGAAAGTATCAAAACGGGAATGCTTCACTCCCAGCTGAAGACTCGCAGACAGCAGGTGGAGTCTGAAGGCAGCGATGAGATCATTGAGGCCAAAAATTTTCACATGGGTTTGTTTTACAGTGTTTACCAGAGTCAAAAACTCCCTAGCGCTAGCACCCACATGCCACACACACACACACACACACTTAAAAATAAAGCATCAACGGTTCCATGAAGAACCCATGGAAACTTTCAATTCCACAAAAGGTTCTTTAGATGATTCAAATGTTCTTCACACATTGATTTTAAGAACTGTTCATTTAAAGGTTATTTGAGGAGCCAAAAATGGTTCTTCTGTGGCATCACTGCGAAACCCCTTTATTTTCAAGTGAACCCTGTGAACTCTGAGTATGATAAAAAAAAAAATGTATTCAGTTGATACTCATAAAAACACAATAAAATCACAGACTAAGATGGACAATGGTGGCATCTCCCCAAAACTGTATTTGTCCTATATCTATGATTGAGCTCTATTGTTTGGGCTTTACTCTATCCTTCAGGAATGTTTTCATCAGCAAACCCCAGAGCCGATTCCGCCCGGCCCCTCCTATCGGCTCAGAGCCGCACTGTCCAGGAATGTCATACAGTATCTCTGCATCCTCAGGATCAGAGAAAAAAAGTGTGTCATCGAATATCATGATGACAGGCACAGGCGACACAGGAACATGTGCAGCTGCAAAAGTTTCTATGGCAGTGAACCAACACATTGGGGTTACACAAGTGTATGTAAGCTGACCACCCATTTGTGACCTAGTTTCAAGCCTGACGTGAGAGAAATATCAACATGAGAGGCAAAAACTCCTTCACACTGCTGACACAGACATTCATTTGTTAGCGACACTGCCCTCTGCTGTACAAAAGTAGTAACTCATAGGTGACAAAAACAAATTTGATTATGCAAAGCAGGAAACTATTAATGTGTCGCATAAATTCAGTCTTATATTGACTTGCATACAAAAGTTTTATATTCAAATGCTTCAAATTCTGTGGGCATGTTAATACATTGCGTGTTATAAAATCGTAAAGCAGCAGTTGCATTATGCATAAAAAAACAATGCATTTAGATACATTTTTCAGATGTTACAACTTGTCATGTGTGCATCAGGCAAGACATAAACAAGTATTATGTTAAGCTTCAGTCTTACAGTAAAAAAAAAAAAAGATTAGACATGCATGCTTTATTGAGAACTGTCCTACAATCTACATCCTCTTGCTGAGAAGGCATGTGTCACTGATTCTGTTAAAAGGAACATAAGACATAATTTATTTGTTAAAATAACCACAAAAGACCTATTCATATCTAGAGATATTATATCTATAACTAGATACATTATGTTTTCTAATGAAAAAGTGTGTCATGTTTGCCCATGCAAAACTCATCGATTTGATGCTAGATGTTTTGGGTGGTTGCCAGGTCATTGTAATAGGTTGCTAAGGTGTTCTAAATTGTTTTTAGCATGTTGCTATGCCGTTGCAAAAGTAAAAATGCAAAAAGATGAAAAAATGTAAACTAAAGGAAATCACAAAATAAAATACCTGACACTTGATATATACCTACTGATATACATTTGCAATTTTACTTTGAAATTGTAAGTGTATTCATTTGTAACTGAAATTGAGACATTTGTTAGCTATAAATGTAATCAAACTAGTTTTACATGTATCTAAAGTCAAATGAATTCATACTGTATGTACAGTAAATAGTGTGCATGTGTGTTTTGGGGGCTCATGTCTGATCACATCAAAAACACCATGAATCATGAGAACCTGTGATTGTAATCATAGCATGCTGGGGACTCTATTATGCACCTATTTTTTCTTACTGGTTTACATACCATCCTCAGACATGTGAGTTTCGTCCATGGTGTTCTCTTCTTGTCCCCATCTAAGAAACAAGAAACAAATAAAAATCAAAACAACCAGCAAATATTTTCCAGGAAAAGCTGCCGGTAGCAAATGAAGTCAAACAACTTGTATATCAGAGCTTTTCATCTTTTTTTCACAACATGTCCACACCCGATTCAATTCTAAAGCTTATATGCAGGTTTGGAACTGGTATGTCTACTATTATTTGACTTATAAGACTACTGTTCATAAGACTTCCATCTATAATTTGCTTTTAATTATTACTCTTATTTTACGTGGAAAGAGCATGTTAAATCAGGAATTACTGTTTTGTAAATTAGATATATATAATCTCAAACACAATGTGTACTGTTACCAACAACAATCTCGCTGTTTCCTTCTAGCCAGCGGCAACAGGTGTGTCAAACCGCTGTCAGCTTACCTTTTATTGTTATTCTACCAAACAAGACAGCTGCCAGGATCACGGTCAGAAATATGACAGCAGGCAATAAAATCTTCTCAATGTCCTGACTTCTCTCTGGGTCACGGCACCAATTTGCTGTGTGATTAAACAACAAAATTCATATCCTTCATAGCTTGTATTGTGTAACATGGCAATACCTATCACAAGTGGCATAACTAACTACATTTTCATTAGCTTGACATTAGTTTAGCTGTTTTCAAAATAGTGTAGCTTTTCCATGACTACACTACAAAACAATACATTGCAAGTATTTATTCCATCATATTTTCCACAATGTAATTATCTAAGTACAAAGTAGTTAAAAAAAAAGATTAGCTTGAATGTAGTTGAACTACTTGAAATTATGTGTAGCTGTATCACAGGAGAGGCCACTAACTTTTCATAAAGCCTTCTGAAGCGAATCAATACATTTATGTAAGAAAAATATCCAATTTAAAACTTTATAAACCGTAATCTCTAGCTTCTGCTAACTGTCATACACGTTCATGAGAGAGTGGCGTTCCAGGGGATGATGTAGGATGTAGGCGTAGCGTAAAATCTGGTGAGAATATGCTAGTCTCACGAGAAACAAGTTTTGTTTACAGCAAAGGAAAACCAATCTCCTCTTGGCTTATATCGAAAACCTCCATAATTTTTCTTTACAAATCCTCATTTTGTACTTCTAATTCGTGACCAATGTTTTGCTTAAATATGGATATTTTTATTACACAAATGCATCGATTCGCTTCCGAAGGCCTTTATTAACCCCACGGAGCCGTGTGGAGCTCTCTTTATGATGGACTGATGCACTTTCTGGGCTTCAAAATCTTGACCACCATTCACTGCCATTATAAAGCTAGGAAGAGCCAGGACATTTTTTTATATAACTCCGATTGTATTAGTCTGAAAGAAGAATGTCATATACAACTAGGATGGCTTGGGGGTGAGTAAATCATGGGGTAATTTTCATTTTTGGGCGAACTATCCCGTAATTACCACTGACAAAAATCCAACAAGATTTGACAGCACTGTTACTGTTGCTTTCATTTGTTGCCATACCTGGATGCAGACGCACACTTCGCACGAACGTTTAGACAAGTTGAAAACTGTGTGCTTCATTTTGTCCTAGAAAACAAATAAGACCTGGCATGACATCAAACAAGCTTAAACAAGACCGCTTCTGTGCTTTGAGTTTTCCTTAGAACAGACCCTTTTCTTTCTCATGTCATCGGGTACAAACCAGGTGAAAAGTTTTACTTTGACAAGGGAATTGCCTTCAGTGGAGGCCTCAAGGCATGGTTTACTAATATGAATAGGAGTGTACCGAGAAACCAAGAAAACTATGAAAAAAAAAACATCCATATGACATCATGTACATTTGCTTTGAAGTTATTATAACTGATCCTACAGGCAGATTATCCTGCTCACGGCTCCTTACCACAGAAAGATTTTGGAACTTGTTTCCCTCGATTCGTTTACACTGAGACAAGGCTTTCATCTCACAGACAGAAACGGAGAAGCTGGCTTTGACCCATGTTGAAATCTCTGCCCACTGCTGACCATCTTTTGATGTAATCTTTGCTGTCCAGACTTGTCAGATAAAAGGACATTTAGCATCATACAGTGTGTAACATAAACATCTATGAAAGCTATTGTGCTTAAATACCTGAGAAATTTCCTTTGGCAAAAGGACACTTTATCCATGTCCCCACTTCAGTGGTAAACTACAAAAAAAGAAATGACAATGAATTCCAACCCAACCCAAAAAGCTATTTTCTGTCAATGACATCATTCATTTAAAGGAGCAGTTCACCCAAAATTTTAAATTCCGACTTCATATATAAACAACTCATGTGGTAAATTTCAAGTCACCAGAAGTCATTTGATAGTTTTTAAAGAAAAGACCATAATTTTAAATGATAAATAACTTGTTTTTCACTGAAATTCACAAAAGATCTTGTAGCTTGTAACTATCGATAAGATTATCAGTTAATAATTTACACAAAACTATTTTATGACTTGTAATATAGTAGGGTTACTATAAATCGTCCTTTTCCCAAACATGTCCTGGCCGGGATTTCTAAATTGCCTAAAATGTTTAGGTTTTGCCTTTGTTTGACTGACGTGTTTGACAGGGAATGACTGAAAAGTAGTTTAACCAATAGCATACAAGCATTGTACCCAATCATGGCATGCAAGAAGGCTTCATAGAATGGTCAAAACAATGCAAAAACATGTACATATAATGTATGAGCACTGGGGGGGGGGGGATATTTTAGGCATTTTAGAAATCCCTGACAGAAAAGAAATTATGTATAGCCCTCTAAATATAGTTCAAAAACACTGTGGATATAGTGCATGAGTCATATGGACTACTTCTATGGTGCTTTTATAGTGCTTTTTATCATTTTTGTAATGTGACAGTTCCAGTCCCTATTCACTTTCATTGCATGGAATAAAGCAGCTAGGACATTCTACTACATTTCTCCTTTTGTGTTCCATGGAAGAATGAAAGCCAAATGGTTTGGAACCTCATGGGGGTTAGTAAATAATGACAAAATGTAAATTTTGGGGTGAAAGCAAATATGCAAAAAAAAAACATTCAACCTTTGTGCAAAGCATTGGGTGTGGATCCACGGAAGAGAATATCACCTGAGGTAAAAACAGTAAAAAATGATATGAGGGTTCCTAACGATCAGCAGCTATTTCTGCACATGTAATAAAAAGGAACAAAGGATTAGAGGGGAACAGAACATACTTTTTGTCCCTCTGAATGGAAAACATTTCCAATGTCTTGACAGCTTTTCCCTCCATCAGCATGGCACAGAGAAACTGACACTTTGACTGGACACTGCGGCTCCCATATCAACTCTTCCTTATTGAAGTCATAGGTTATCCCCGACCACAGTTCTTCTAAATCTGTTACAGAGAAAAATGCAAGTATTTTAAAGTAAATTTTGAGCTTTAAAATGCCAATTTATAATATTACTAATTTATCAATAGTGATTTAAAAGGATAGTTTGACCAAAAATGAAAATGTAAGGAAAAAAACAGGTGAAACATTCTTCAAAATATCTTCTTTTGTGTTCCACAAAATAAAGAAACTGCTGCAGGTCTGGAAACAACATTAGGGTAACTGATGGTGAATTACTGATTTAAGTGCTTTAGCTTCACATTTGAGACCACTGGCAAGCTAATGTTTTGGAACGCTATCTAACAGGAAACAGGTACTCCTTTTAAAAATGCAAACAAGTGCTAACTAGTACAAAAAAATCTGATACAGATACAATACAACCAAATGCAAATAAGCAAGCCAATGCAAGAAAGTTTAGTCCCATCAATTTAGCTGTTGGTGAAAGGTTTTGAGGCGGGTCTGATGTTGCCACTTGTTTTTTGCCACTTGTTTTAAAATGCTAGGTTACCTCACAAAGCATTTTTACAGTGTAAACCGAGAAACTGAAAACATCTAGGACCTCTGTTTTGAACAAAGTAAATTTTACTTACTGTTTTTGAATGGACACACTTGAACTCTCCTTGCATCTACTCTAGCAGGCCAACCCTGAAATAAAAGATGGTGGAAATCAACACTTCCTTCTCTACCTGTCAGATTGCATGTTCAAACCGTAATTTTCCGTAAAATAAAGCTTTCATACCTCAATGCACAAACAGGGTAATGGTTTGGAATAATGAAGCATTATGCTACTCTGTAGATGTTGTGGTTTTATCTGAAACACATGCAAAACACAAGGGTAAAATTTCTTCTAGGAAATGCAAGGGAAAGTGTGCTCGTCATTTTTACCTTCATATGAGCCCCTTCCCCGGCACAGATGACATTACGTTTATGGCAGAGCCTGAGGTTGTAGTCTGTGTCCTCTGGAGCATCAGTCACTTTCACTGTTAACGCATTCCTGGCTTTATCTACAGTGTACGCCAGCTTCCCAGCTACAACAAAATGACAGTACAGTTACAGCTTTACATACTGTCTATCTATCTAACTATCAATGTTGTGACATGATAAAGAAACTTACTGATGCACTCTGCCAATTCATCTCTGATACCTTCATGACTGCATTCTGGCATTAAAAAAAAGAAAAGGGCAATAGATGTTAATGTTATTCATATCATGTGTGACTACACTGTTATATATAGACTGCTGATAAACACAACACTGATACCAGGAACCAGGTGTCTTTGTGTCCACGTGGCCTTACAGTAGTTGGGAATGGTTTTGAGAGTCACAAACACAAGCTGTCCAGGTCTAACAGGAACACATTTAAACTTCACATCAACCTAGAAGCAGAAACAGAGTATTTGATATCTGACAAGCATACACGATAGGAGGTTATAGTTTCTGTGCTACTGTGACAGATTTGTGTCATTGATAACATTCTCAGTGGTAATGATAGAAATCTATTTGCATAGTGTAACCATCAGGTAAGCATCATTCATATGTTTATACTGTACCTGTTTTCCTGTGGCTTTTCCTTTGCCAACATGGCCAAAGGTGTAAATCTGGCAATGTCCTATCATCCCTGCAGAGTCGGCACACACTGAAACTCCACGAATATCACCTGGAAAACAGTTCGAATCTTTAGGAGAACCGAAACACATCCATTTTGTGGGTGGCACAAAGTGGTGACGTCATTTTGCAGTTTCTCCTTCAATTAACATTTCAGGTTAAATCAGTAAGGTAGTAATTATTAAGGCACATTGTGTTTAGTTAATGTTAGACCTTTTAGATTATAGAGTATTTCATTAATAACTTATTGTTGTGAAAGATTTAGTTTTAGAAAGATGTAGTTGTACTAAGAAGGCAATGTTGTGTCAATGAGTTACCGGAGTATTTGGTTAAATGCAGTGACGTAGGAATGACTCAGTAGGTCTACCAAAGTAATTATAAAGCAATCTAACAGCGGTTGCGGATGTTTTTCAGGAGTACTGCACCAGACAAAAAGATGCAGCTCACTGAAAACACTTTGAACATAGTGGGGTAAGTTGTCACAGTGCAAACACTCTACAGATTTGTAAAATATACAAATATTATCCAAAAATGAGAGGTATCTTACAGGAATATGAAACCATTTATTAATAAATTGTTTAAATATATAACATTTAAAACATATACCACATCAAAAGCATTTCATTCACACAATGTGACCAGAATAATACACACCAGTAGCATTCACTGATGTTGCGATTTTAAGCTGGAGTGAACATTTTCTCCCTTCACACGCCAACACAGTAGACAACATCACATTATTGAACACGGCGCTGCTAACAGGCTGATTCCTGCAGTGAAATGCTGACAGTGGAGCTATAAGATATAAAAAAATATGTTAGAACCATAAATTACTGCATGGATAGTCATAAACACAGATAGGTAGATAGATACTCACAGTAAGCTTTGGGTTTACACTGTAGACCCTGTTTGTAGAGATCAAAAGGAATATTATTTAAAGCACTAGGCTGAGTCATGATAGTGTAAATTACTTTCCTATTTATGCACGGTCGAGAACTGCTTTATCATTTAACAAGAAATGTGACTGTACTGTAAGGACAGTAAAACAAGGGGTTTCCCACTCACTCCTTAGGAAGTTCCTGGTTGGAGCAAATATAACAAGGCTAGCAGGCATATGATGTAAGTTTAGTGTATCCTCATATGTAATTACAATAATCAACAGAATACAAAAAGATTTGTCAAACTTTGTCAATATTGATGACCTAGATCAGTGAGAGCGGGTTATTTGTGTATGTCTGCTTCTGTAAGACTGAGACAAGGTCTTTTTTAATACATCACATAACTGGCTGGGTTTCATTGTTACAGATGATATCATATTTTTATGACTCATAATTTAAACCATGCCACTAGCCACTTTTCTAACATAACACAGAAATAGCTCTCATATAAATAAGCACTGGCTTAATTAGGTTAAATATTAATAAATGCAATTGTCAGCAGGCAAACTTCATTTAATTTAATTTATCCATCTTTTACAAGTTAAATGATTCACTCCTGGCAATCTAGATATAATTCCAGCATTTTATTGTTAAACTTTTGTTAATTAAATTATGACTGCAGCAATGTTTTACTCAAGTAATGTAAAGGTAATATCAAGTGTAATAAAGAGAGAGAGAAAGAGAAATGAAAGACCTTACTAAATGAATCTTTTACAAAACAAACAAAAGATTATAAATTCTAAATTATATTTAGACTACATAAAAAATACAACTGACAAACCTCAGAGCAACTCCAAGCACAATCCTGGTTCGTCTCAATCCTGTCCAAATGGACCTTGTGGTTCTGGAGGATGAGGAGCAGAAGAAGAAGAAGCGGAAGATATTTCATGTTCGGTCAGTTTTGACACGCGCTGACGTTCCTGTACAAACTTGCTTTGTTGCTGTGAATGACTTGCTTGTCAGAGTATGCAGCACTTTGAATATCAAACGGGCATTGACATATAGAGGGAAATTGCTCCCGCCCACTAAAACCCAGATAAAGTGAAAAAAGCTCATCCATCTCTCTCTCTCTCTCTAAAACCCAGATAAAGTGAAAAAAGCTAATCTCTCTCTCTCTCTCCAATAGCTTACTCATAATGGCAATTCAGGAGAATCATCTATAATAGCACTTAACGCCCCAAACCCCCTAAATGTACCTAACAGCGCTCTCTGGCATTTCGCTCGATTAAAGTTTTATACAGGCGCTTGTAATAAAGTTTAAATAGAAACTCCATAATTGTACAGTTCTGTAGAAACTAGGTATATTTGCCGCTAGATGGAGACAAAAAGCAACAGCAGACACGCCTTCCGGATACAGGCGTGAATTTAAATAGGGATTTCCTACAAAAATACCACAGTTACAACATCATTATTATTTTTCTCACAGGTTTTTATCACTTTCTTATGCCAAACGTTGCATATTGCCAAATACCACAAGACAAAACCGACATGGATCATTGTCACAGGAGAATTTCAAGTTTCAAGAATTGCAAACAAAAACCAACCGTCTGTCTATATACAGGTGAGAAACACTTAAACACTTAAATTACTTTTATTTTATAGTATATATATATATAGAGAGAGAGAGAGAGAGAGAGAGAGAGAGAGAGAGAGAGAGAGATGGGGAGATAGATTATAATTTATAATAATGAATAATTTAATTGATAATTTATGCATTTAGCAGACACTTTTATCCAAAGCGACTTACAGTGCATTCAGGCTATACATTTTTTTACCAGTATGTAAGATTACTTACAAATTGTTATCCGTTACTGATTACAAATTACATGACTAAAAATGTAGTAACATAATCCATTACATTACACAATTACACATTTTAGGTAATATAGCTAGTCAGACTACTTTTAGATTACTTTTGACCTAACTCATTTATCACATTGATTTAAATAGGATAATCTTCTACCATATTTATATAAAAATACAAAGAGTAACAAAATATATTCCCTTTGTTTTTATCAACAACATGAAGTCCAAAAAAAATATTACATCAAGGTTTGCCAAACTGGGGTTTGTGAAGGAAAAGAAGTGGGTTTATAAGTTTAATGAAAAGCTAATAATTAATTAAATCATAAAAATGTTCAATTAAAACTAATAATTTTAAAATGAATCAAATAAAACACTTACTGACAAAAAGGATATATTTTATTTGTTTACCATGTCACCATAACCAACGTCAGAGAAACATGAACATACAAATGAACACTTATTAATTTTTGTATTATTATGTGATATGCTAGATACTGCAAGGGGTGATCATATGTGATACTGTTGATTCAAATTACTTCTGGTTGACTTCCGTGAAAAAAAAATTAATGATAATTATAATATAGATATTTAATGTATTACTATTATTACTAACGGTTATTATTAACACTCATTAAGATCTTATTTTTTAGGGGTCGACCAACCAGAAAAATAATAAATAATAAGGATGATTAAAATATAGTTTTTAATTTATTATTATTATTATTATTATTGTTATTATTCATGATGGTCGACCAGAAAAAAGATGACACGCATGTGAGTATGAAACAAAACCAACAGCATCTCATGTATTATCCCATCACAATAATAATAACAATATCAACAACAACAATAATAATAATTATTATTATTATTCATGATGATCGACCAGAAAAAAGATGACACGCATGTGAGTATGAAACAAAACCAACAGCATCTCATGTATTATCCCATCACAATAATAATAACAATATCAACAACAACAATAATAATAATTATTATTATTATTCATGATGATCGACCAGAAAAAAGATAACATGCATGTGAGTATGAAACAAAACCAACATCATCTCATGTATTATCCCATCCCAATAATAATAATAATAATAACAATAATAATAATTATTATTATTATTCATGATGGTCGACCAGAAAAAAGATAACATGCATGTGAGTATGAAACAAAACCAACAGCATCTCATGTATTATCCCATCACAATAAAAACAACAACAACAACAATAATAATAATTATTATTATTATTCATGATGATCGACCAGAAAAAAGATAACATGCATGTGAGTATGAAACAAAACCAACAGCATCCCATGTAGATACTGATCACTCTTGGCCCCTCGCACATTATTTTGTGGCGGGCGTTGTTTTCTCGTCTCTCCCCTGCCTTCAGTGCAGCTCTCCCTCTCTCCACCCCCTCTTTGTTGTTTCTCTCCTCCAGCCTCCGCTGCGCACACACACACACACACCCTCCCCCTCTCTCGCTCTCTCTCTCTGGATCAGCTGCGCGCTCGCAGTAGTCTCTGCGTCCCTTCCCCCCGCGGCCTGGCTGCTGATGAGATGAGTGGAAGATGTCGGTGTCGGGGCTGAAGGCCGAATTAAAGTTCCTGGAGTCAATTTTTGACCCAAACCATGAGCGATTCAGAATAATCGACTGGAAGCCTGATGAACTGAGCTGCCAGTTCAATGTGACGGGAGAAAAGCTGCTGATTATTCACTGCAACATCACGGTAAGATTAATCAGCCGTGTGTAGCTTACAGGAGAACAAGACAAGGCCGAGTGAAACAACACCACCCACAACCCCTTTTGACTCGAATAAAGCCATCATATTGCGAAAAACCATGTATGCCGATCAGGATCGATTATATCCTCAAATATATGTCAAAATCACGGCTAAACAAGTATGCACTGCTAGTACGAGCTACATTTAGCCTGCTAGTTGATTAGCTAACAAAGTTAACTGCGTTTGCTGTCGCTTTAACTTTATTAGCTAAACAAACTCGCTAGATAATATTCAGGTTTGCTTGGTCATATCAAATATAAGTTTAAATAAAGCATTAAGGGTTTGTTTTATTTCGCGTCGGTGGGATTTTGCAGTTAAGTTAGTTGGCAGGTAATTAGCTTGTGTGCTAATTTAGCTAAGCGGATACTTCAGCTAGCTAAACGACGTTTCGGACAAAATATGTTTTTTGGTCTTGCCAAGCCGACTTTGAGATGCTATTTTGGAATATTTATAGCGTAACAAAACATTTTATTGGTATAAACAGCTAGATTTTATGTTGGCTAGCTAATTTAGCAATAGCTCGTTTGCCGAAGTTCTTCATTTCGCGAGGCCTCTAAAGAAATGCGTAGATTTAAAACGACACAGCTGTATATTCAGTTAAATCTATCGTGATTTGTTACAAAGTAACTGTTAGCGTAATTTATAGCTGCTATCGTAACGTGTTATAGGTGGTATTGGCAATATTAGCACATTTTCCAACTTCGTATTTGAGCAATTTCTGCATTTTCATAGCTTTTAATGGACAAAATGTGCATGTATAGGAAGTGTATATTAACTGTACTATATTATGAATAAGTCGTATAGTGTCTATAAAAGCACACTGAAAAACTACGCCACTGCAGTGCAACTGTCTGCTGTTTTGTTGTTATTGATGCCAGTTAGTTTGCTGAGCTTCTGTCTTGATGTTTGAGGTGCTGTAAGGTCAGTATGTGGTCCTGACAAGCAGAAGCAAATCACATCGCCATCATTTTGGGTCTCCCTCGACGGGAGACTCCGTGATGGGAGGAGATTTCTAACTAGTGGATGGGGACATAATGTTCACGTGATTTTACATGGAACCTCATCAGCTCTGTCACGCACTTCTCTGAAATAAACAGCACTGCACAGATCTGCCATGGTCTCTTCTGGGTTTTCATTAGAAGAGAGAAACCTGCAGAGTTTGATTCATTGGTTTGGCAGATGGTAATGTGGCTGCTTATCATGCAAGTGGCTGATCGGATCCGCTCAGACTTTAGTAACCTTGTGGAAGGACAAAGGGTTTCGATATAGTTCTGAAGATGCTGACGTTGTAACTCTTGATATTTTCATAGGAGTCTTACCCTACAACCCCACCAATATGGTTCGTTGATTCAGATGACCCAAGTCTGACGGAAGTCCTTGAACGACTAGAGGATGTCAGAAAAGGCAATACTTTGGTAAGGAGGTGTTAACTCTCTCTGAAATTGTAATGAGATGTGACCATCCAAAATAAAGCACAAAATAAATATTTGAATGTACACATGTTTAAAAGTTTGGGGTCAGTAAGATATTTTTTTTTATTGAATAACTTAGCACTTATATTCAGCAAAGATGAATTAAATCGATCAAGTCACAGTAAAGACTTTTACATTGTTTCAAAGAATCTATTTTAAATACACTGTCTGTTCATCTGAAGCAGCACATTTGTTTTTGTCATTGATAATAATAATTAAAAGTGTTTCTTGAGCAGCAATTCAGCGTATGAGAATGATTTCTGAAGGATCTTGTGACACTTATGACTAAAGTAATGATGCTGAAAATTCAGCTTTACCATCATGTTACATTTTAAAATATTAAAATAGAAAAGGTATTTTAAATTGTAATAATATTTAACAATGTTATTGTTTTTACTGTATTTTTGTCAAATAAAAGCAGACTTGGTGAGCATGAATCTTCTTTAAAACCAAAAACAAATCTTACTGAGCCCAAACTTTTGAATGGTAGTGTTATATCCTTTAATCAAAATTGATCATTTTGATTACAATATCATGGGAAATAATTAGCAATTATTCACATCTTTGTCCATTTTCATTTATTTAATCAAAAAATACATTAAACTTGCACCTTTTTAATTACTGCACCATTTTGATTTGGGGAGATAAATCTAAATGATAGCATTAAAATGCAAACGTTTTTTATAAACATTTTTGAGATCATTAATAATGATCAAAATGTGTATACAGTTGTCAGGAAAATTTGTACACCATGTGCCATTTTTATTAACACACTTTTATTATAAATGGTATAAAATAGTTTATTTTTCTTTATCATGGACTATCTTATTTGACATTGTTCCAAATATGTGGCATAATCTTGCAGCCCTAATCCATAATGAACCCAAATCCATGTTTTGGTCAGGATGAAGCTTTTTTTTCTGAACACACATTATCTCACATTATTTTATATGCAACCCAATTTATGTATGTAGATGAATGGTTTTATATAAGTTAGCAGGTAAAAAGTTGGCCAGTTTTTGTTACTTACCATTTGTTACCACTTTTCCTTCTTATGCAGCTCTTACAGCAGCTGAAAAGGCTGATCTGTGATTTATGCCGACTCTATAACCTGCCCCAGCATCCTGATGTGGAGATGCTGGATCAGCCACTTCCTGCTGGACCCATCAGTCAAGACAAGAAGGTAGCCCAAATCAGCACAGACCTACATAGTCTTATTACACTCCTTCCTTTTCTTGTTCCCGGTGTGAGCTGATGCAAGCTTTTTGTCCTTGTTCTTCCCAGCATGGAACAACAGATGAAGTGACATCAGAAGAAGAGGAGGAAGAGGAAATGGCAGAGGTATTAAGCTTTAGGGGATGCGATGGATTCCTCATGACTCAAGTTATGACGAGAAGACTAGTTGATACCTAACACTTTCTTTTGTTTGTTGCTGTGGCAGCAGGATATTGAAGATCTAGACCACTATGATATGAAAGAGGAGGAACCGGTCGATGGGAAAAAGTCAGAGGATGATGGCATCGAGAAAGAGAATCTGGCCATTCTGGAGAAAATCCGCAAGAACCAGAGGCAGGACCACTTGAACGTAAGTGTCCATTCGGTAAGGTACCTTTTTATACAACTTTGGGGTTGGGTGGAGCAATATTGGTTTTATTGATATAGTATAGTGACGTCATCTCTTTATGATGTGTAATACAATGCAATAAAGCACATTTTTTATTTGCAAATAGGGTCAGCTTTTTTCTATTTTTGAAGTCTGTAATTTATCCACTGAAGAATAATTTAAAAGATTGTTCCTTGCATTGCTGTATATGTTCCCTAAATGCTTCATTGTTGGTCTCGTAGGGTGCGGTGTCCGGTTCAGTTCAGGCCTCTGACCGCCTCATGAAGGAACTCAGGGAGATCTATAGATCACAGAGTTATAAGACAGGTAATTTTAGTTCAATTACAGCATTGACTTTTCCATATGTTTGTTCCAAACATGTTTCTTCCAAAGCCTTTTAAGGCAGTTCTTTTGTCCAATACAGCTTTTCAGTATTAAACATAGGGCTGGGACAATAAATCAATGCATCGTGATTCTCTCTCGAATTGATTCTGAGCTTAGTTTTTTAACAGCAGATGGCGCACTAGGTTAGTTTGCACACTCAAATGCTCACGAAGAAGAGCGCTTGCGTGTTCAGCTGAGTAATGTAAGTGGTTAAATGTACTTGCACTTCGGCTTTTATGTTTTATGATGCGAGATTAACGTAAACACAGCCCACCGTGAACATCCCTGTAATTCGCTTCAACCTTTTCGAACTTTATGAATGATTATTTTAGGTTCAAGTGGTGCGTGTGTAAGGAACTGGAAGCAAGCCGAATACGGCTATTTCTAAAGCACGCAGTGCCATCTGCTGTTAAAAACTAAGCTCAGAATCGATTCAAGAGAGAATCGCGATGCCTTCGGGAAATCTAAGAATCGATGCAGAATCATTTCTCGATTTGCGATGCATCGATTTATTGTCCCAGCACTAATTAAACATGGAAAAAATCTTTCAATTACAATTGTACTATAAAGCTGATGACTAGAGTGTTCACGCTTTTCCTCGCATTTGACCTCAACTGACTGAACAGAAGAAGTAATCCAGAGAAGATTTCTTCGTCAAATAAGGCGGAGCCCCAGAGCACACCTTCCTATTAAGCCTGTTTTATACTCACCGCGTCCGCACAAGCGCAAAGGTGCGTGTGGCGAAAATGACATCATCGTGGAGTAGGCGGCCATGCGCGTTGTGCGCGAGGCCCCTTCTTGCATGGCAGTGTGCACGGCATTTTTTTGTAACTCTGCTTCCGAAGATACACAACTTTAACACTATTTGCTAAAAGTTGTCTTGTGTTTGATGTGAAATAAACCCAAAAGCTGAAGATTTTTTTATTCAGTTTGTTCATAAAGAAATGAATTAATTCTTCAACTCATTCATCACACGTGACGTCAAGTTTTGAGTCTTGTACCAGCAAATTGCTGCTTCTCGCCACTGATTACCAATGGTTTTAGAGGACAATTACTCCTCGTCGCCCCCTGTCGTTTCAAAGAATAGTACAACGGCGAACGCGACAAGTATAAATGCCTTGTCCATTTGGGGAGGTGCGTGCGCAGTCAGCAGAGGCTCGCGATGCGGAGCCAGGCGGAAGTATAAACAAGGCTTTAGGCAGTCGCCATGAACCAATGGTAGCTTGAAGGCATTTACCAGCTTTGGTTTTGAACTTCAGTTGGCCTGATTTAGTTGGAAATGACATCACACCAGTTGGTTCATTGGTTTCACTTGAAGTATATCAGGGCCTTAAGTTGCCTACCTTTTGTGACTGCTACTTTTATGTCAGGAGTGCGCATGTGATGCCTAAAACTGTTGTGGAACACATTTCTTAGTTTCCATTAGTTTTATCTTGTTCCAGGACTGTTACAGATCTGTCTGACCTGTTTGTTTACCATTCTGTCCGTTCCAGGTATCTATTCAGTGGAGTTAGTCAATGATAGCCTGTATGAGTGGCATGTCAAGTTAAGGACGTAAGTATGGCTGCATAACATGAAATACCATGTGGGCTGATGATAGTTTTAGTGTTTGGATCTTTAAAAGCATTCTCGTGTTTTTTAAGGGTTGACCCAGACAGTCCGTTACACAGTGACTTGCAGGTTTTGAAGGAAAAAGAAGGCATGGACTACATTCTGCTCAACTTCTCTTATAAAGTTTGTTTTTTCTTTGTTGTACAAAAATACTGATTGAAGATAATTTGATTGAAAAAAGAGATTATGCAACTGAATTTCTGTTTTCTTGCTTGCTGATGGCAGGATAACTTTCCTTTTGATCCTCCCTTTGTACGGGTTGCGTCTCCTGTCCTGTCTGGAGGGTGAGCATGAGAAATTTTTCCTAGTAAATAAGTCAGACTAACCTTTCTATGTTAGTAAAAAGTAAAAAGTAAAAGTAACGATTCTACTATATTTGATGGATGATTATATTTTTCCCCCTGAGAATAACATAAATTTGTATTGTGAATAATGCTGTCTTTAAATTTTTTTGCATGAATTAATAATTCAACATGTAATTGTAATTTAACAGAGATTGAGTAATGCTAATTTAATTTGCCTACATTTTAATTATTATTTAGCATTCTGTTTAATACCCCATATATTTGTGAAAAGCCATTATAAAATAATTCACAGAAAAAATATTAATTTATAATATGACTAATACAAATATTGTTCATTTTCAGAATCATAATCTGAAGAGAAATGAATGGTAATTTGCTATATTTTTCCCCCTGAGAATAACATAAACGGATGTATTGTGAATAATGCTGTCTTTAAATTTTTTTGCATGAATTAATAATTCAACATGTAATTGTAACTTAACAGAGATTGAGTAATGCTAATTTAATTTGCCTACATTTTAATTATTATTTAGCATTCTGTTTAATACCCCATATATTTGTGAAAGGCCATTATAAAATAATTCACAGAAAAAATATTAATTTATAATATGACTAATACAAATATTGTTCATTTTCAGAATCATAATCTGAAGAGAAATGAATGGTAATTTGCTCTATCCTGCTAAATGTTTTTTTTTATTTATTATTATCTAGCTATGTTCTTGGAGGAGGAGCCTTGTGTATGGAGCTACTTACAAAACAGGTTTGAATTCTCTTTAAGTTTTCTAAGGTTTGCACATTAAAATAATTCTTGAAATCTGAAATAATGAAATAAATTTGATCTCGTAGGGCTGGAGCAGTGCCTACTCAATAGAGTCAGTCATCATGCAAATCAACGCAACCTTAGTCAAAGGGAAAGCCAGAGTGCAGTTCGGAGCAAATAAGGTTTGTTCAACTTCATGATGAAAAACAAAAATATTTGCCTGCGGAAATGTTGACCCTTTCCCTTTTGTTTTGTGCAGAATCAATACAATCTTGCCAGAGCACAACAGTCATATAAATCATTGGTTCAGATTCATGAAAAGAACGGTAGGTGGAGAAACCGTAAAACGAGATGCAGAATTGATGCACTTTGAACTGTTCTCAGAAGTTTTTTTCTCATGTTTTTCCTCTAGGCTGGTACACACCTCCTAAAGAAGATGGCTAGGAAAAGCATTGATCTGCTTGCACACTGCAAACATGGGATATCTGGTCAAACATTTGCTTTATTTTACTAATGTTTTCACCTCTTCAGCTTGAGTATGATGCCCCCTCGTGTAAATGGAAGCCATTGGGGAAACGTTTGCCCTCTCGCTGTCTGGAATGCTCAGAAATTTGCATCGTCCTTTATCTTCTGCAAGGCTGGACTCTTTGACCAGATCCCATAATGTCTGGATTTCTGTCTGTTTTTCATGCTCTCTTTCTCTCGCTCATCTGTTGTCTTCTATACAGATGGGACATTCAGAGCCTTGGTACTAATAAGGCATCTAACATGGCGTTTCGAAATGGTGTGATCAGAGAAAGATTTTTTTTTTCTCTCTCTCTCTTCTTTTTTGTTGCTTCCTCACTTTTACTGGAGCATGGCTCCGTTCAGGATTATTACATAGTTGGAGATGCTCAATGAAGATGCTGGATCTGATCCTCTCTGTCTGCTTTTAAAGGACGTTCTTATGACCATGGACTTTAAATGGTGGTTTACTGAACTTAAAACAGGATATGGATGCAACTAGAGACAATGTGAAGACAATGTGCCACTGCTCTTGTATCTATAGAGACTTTTTTCCCCCCTCATGCATTCTGAATTAACATGTACTGGTACATTTAATGCTGATGTCGTCAAAGAATCGTTACTTGCCACAATTATATACGTAAGCTTCCTAAGCAACCCTTATGTTAATGATAACGGCAAGGACGAGAGGAAGGGGTGCGTATATACGACTAGCCCCAAATCTCGTTTTTCCAACTAAGGATGAATTCCACTCAGTTTCCTTACGCTCACTTTTAGCATGTGGCTGATCTGACCAATAATGGACAAATGCGAGCTTTGGCTTTGAAAAAGCGAAGCGGAACTTGCCGCCGCTCCATAGTTGAACAGAGCTCCACTTGTATACTTGTAAATGGATTTGAGGCGTCTTAAATGTGGTGTTTATGTGAAGTGGGGGAATTATCCGAGTTGTTTTCACTTGAGGACTTGTGGACTCGAAATGGGGAAAAAGGTTGATGTTTCTCAAAATAACGGGGGTAATATCTTAAAAATTGTATTTATATAAGTGATATGAACATAACTTTTTTTTTCGGTTTTTTTTTTTTCGTTTTTGTTCCCACCCTTAATTGTCATTTTCATAATTTCTGCTCCATTAAAAAACAGCTGTTACAGATTGAGACATTTGAGGTTTACATTACTAATGGACCTCTCATGATCAGCAGTACTTGAACTTAGAGTTTGCTGTCAGTTTCATTTTGTGAGCATTGATGGATTAAAAGAGCGCAAATAATACTTTTCTCATAGCACAACACTACAAGAGCACTGTTTCTTTCCAAGCCTGATGGACAATTCTCACAAAACTCGAGGCGTTGTTTATTTTACCTCTTGGATCTGAACGTCCAGTATAAAATTTTAAGAATGGTCAATGCTTCAACGTTCATGGCGAAAGAGAGCTTGTCAAAATACACCATACCTCCCTGCTTTTTTGTCTTTGTTTCACAGTGTATTACAAAAAGTGGCTGTCGAAGACTCGTGCATGTTCAAGTTCAAGTTCCCAAATGTTCCCAAAGTTCCCAAAAACTCATGCATGTGAAGGCGTCTCGCATTTTTCATTGAGAACTCAGGAAAATCCATTCTGTTTGGAAAACCTTTTTTGGGCCATTTGCTCTACCTGTCCACTTTAAGAACCTTCTCTAGTTCCTGAAAGCAAAGAAAAGGATTTTAACAGCTTCCCGTGGTCGCTATTTAGAATTTTATGATGGGGCTTGGTTTCATCGTAAGAAGTGTTAAAGGCCAATGGGGATTAGATAACTCTGGCTATAAAAATGTATATGATTTCCTTTGTTTCCTGAATTTAAGTGCTCAGTCAAACGGAACTTATGTTTTTGTTGTTGTTTCTCACCCTTCCGACTTCAAATTTCAGTTGTAAATATTTTGGGACATTTGGGTTTAGTATTTGCACAGAATGTTGTGATTGTGCCTCTTGGATCAGTCCTGAGTTTGAACTTCGTCCCATAACAGGCAAGCTCTTGGATATGTATATCTTTAATATGGACGCAAATGTAATCTTTTACTCCAGTCACATGTAAATGTAATTCAAGAGAGCCACTGCAGCAGGAATGTCTTGAATAACTCCAGTATCTGCTTTGCAAGTTATTGCTGCTGTCTTGTTTCAGAGATGTGCTTGGTCTTGGGTTTTCATTGGTGAGATTTGAAAAAGCAGACCTTTCTAGATGGTGTTTCCTCAGAGGTTTATTCATCTCAAGAAGTACATCCGCGTTTGAGTTTTTGACCTGGGCTTGTCCGCATTGACCAAGGTTTCTGTAACTGATGAGTCTTTCTTCTGTTTCCTTGTCCGAACAGTAATGACTTGTTTGTTTTTGTTTTTCACACTGAACGCGAGTTTTTGACCTGGGCTTGTCCGCATTGACCAAGGTTTCTGTAACTGATGAGTCTTTCTTCTGTTTCCTTATCCGAACAGTAATGACTTGTTTGTTTTTGTTTTTCACACTGAACGTGAACCTCACCGTAACCAATAACAGAACCCGTCTCTGGTGCCATCTCATGGAATGGTTCTCGAAGCTCACACTGTTGGCATGCTTTCTTGGTTTTTTTGTTAGGTTTTTCCATTACAAGAGAATTTTGACCATGTACAGTATATTTGTAAACTTGCATCAAGTTTATGAATAAAGAATTTTACGAGGAGCTTGTTTGGGTATCTGTGAGTGATCTGATTGTTGCATTCAGTAACTTAAATTGTCATTAAAGGGGTAGTTCACCCAAAAATGAAAATTCTGTCCTTATGTCGTTCCAAACCTGTACGACCTTTGTTCATCTTCGGAACACAAATGAAGATATTTTTGGTGAAAAATAACAACAGAAAATAATGACTTTATTCAACAATTTCTTCTCTTCTGTGTCAGTTTTCGAGGCACGTTCATGACAGTACCACTACGTATGCATGTGCATTCCTCTGCTTGCAAACAAGGCGTGCTTTGTGGTACTGTTGTGAACGTGCCTTGAAGTATTAAGAGAAATTCAGTAACTTAAATTGTCATTAAAGGGGTAGTTCACCCAAAAATTAAAATTCTGTCCTTATGTCGTTCCAAACCTGTATGACCTTTGTTCATCTTCGGAACACAAATGAAGATATTTTTGGTGAAAAATAACAACAGAAAATAATGACTTTATTCAACAATTTCTTCTCTTCTGTGTCAGTTTTCGAGGCACGTTCATGACAGTACCACTACGTATGCATGTGCATTCCTCTGCTTGCAAACAAGGCGTGCTTTGTGGTACTGTTGTGAACGTGCCTTGAAGTATTAAGAGAAGAAATTGTTGAATAAAGTTGAAATTTTTGTTTTCTTTGCACACAAAATGTATTCTCATAGCTTCATAAGATTACGGTTGAACCTGTCACATGGACTACTTTAACGATGTCTTTACTACCTTTCTGAGCCTTGAACGTGTCCGTTGCGTTGCTGTCTATGCAGGGCCAGAAAGCTCTTGGATTTTATCAAAAATACCTTAATTTGTGTTCCAAAGTTGAACAAAGGTCTTACGGGTTTGGAACGACATGAGGATGAGTAACTAATTAATGACAGAATTTTCATTTTTGGGTGATCTATCCCTTTAAGAAAACATTTGGAACTCCAGAATTAGCAATGAATGGATATATATACAAACTTGAAAAAGCGCTGACATGTTCAATTTTGAATAAAAAAAATTTCTGTGTAAAGTTATGCTGTTTAATGTAAAATGTATCATTCTGTTTAGTTTGCTGGGTAAACGTTAACATGAATGGTTCTGGCTGGTAGTTTACCACACAAGCTTGTTACAATCTTTTAAAATATGTCATTAACATTGTCACCAAAGTGTCTGGCTTAAGGCTTTTCTTGACTTGTCAGCTGATGTTTATTTTAGTAATTTACGTATTTTGAGTTATAAATGAAAATGAAGAAAAATTGAGCTATAAATGAAAATGCAAGTTGCAACTTCCCTAATGTTAGTCATAATTTAAAGTTTGTCAAAATGGAAGATTATTAGAATTTGAATTATAATCCTTCCTTACCACTTGGGGTAGCTGTTTGCCATTTTTGTCTGCGATTAACAATGTGGCCAAATGTTAGCATGCTCTAGGCCAGGGGTCACCAAACTTGGTCCTGGAGGGCCGGTGTCCTGCGGAGTTTAGCTCCAACTTGCCTCAACACACCTGCCTGGATGTTTCAAGTATACCAAGTAAGACCTTAATTAGCTGGTTCAGGTGTGTTTGATTAGGGCTGGAGCTAAACTCTGCAGAACACCGGCCCTCCAGGACCGAGTTTGGTGATCCCTGCTCTAGGCCCATTATAAGTTGCAGCACAATACAAACTTTTTAAAAATTCTATTGTATTAATATAATACAAATAATAATTAATATTTGCTTATGGTCACTGGAATTGCAACTGATGCTTAAACTAAAGTCATTGGTATTGAACCATAGACACTGGTGCTCAACTCCATGACTGGAAAATGAACACATCCATTTGCTGTACAGCTCCGCATTAAAATGTTATAGTACAAACAAAGATAAATGAGAGCGGGTAGCTGTTCAAAAATAAATTGTATAATACATGTAGATGAGGATTGGTAGTATTTTATTTATTGCAAAACTTGGTCCGCAATGTCATGGAAACCTTTACAGAGTTAAAGTCCTTGTGTGTAGGTTTTGTTGTAGACAATGTACATTTAAAGCACATGACATTGATGTTACACAATATTCTTTTACAAGCCAAACAGAACATACACTGCCATATGTCTTGAGAAATTTAGTGTCTTATAGGAACTAATGAACTTTTTGTCCACATTTGGACAGGCATTGAGTGACTGTTTAGTATAGTGTCAGTTTGTCCACCAAGTCTATATAAACATAGTTAAGTACTTTATACATTGTGTTAAACAAGAAGAATTCATCTTAGCTCAGGTTTCCTTTCATTCTTTCTGCCTGTTACATAACTGACTCGAACAATAACCCGTTTAGTTCACTTCTCCCCTGGAATGCTCTTAATGGTGGGAGTGTAGCATGATCTTCAGTCTTTACAAAGCTGGACATTTAATCTTAGGTATCATGTTGACATCTAGTGTGTGTAGTACAAAATCAAAGAATCTCCTTGTTTAAAATGTAATTAAAAGTAAAATATAAGAAATTTCTGTAATTCCCTCAGAATGTTTGCCTGGTTATAGAAAATCATAGTTTCAAAACAGGGTCCAAAGTTCTTTGACCGCTATTATCGTGGCATTATTTAATTACCCTGCCTAAAGAAACCTGATAGGCTTTTGCTGTGCTCATTCATTTAAAGGAACCTTTCACCTAAATGCACTTGAAAAGCTCGTAAACATTGCATGATAAATGCGCTAAAGGTTTTGGACGCTACACTGTTCCGAGGTGAATTTCGAGGTTGTCAGGTAAGGTTTGAAATATTATCAATATATAATTAGGATTTGAAATTCAAAATAGGAGTTGATCTGGCAATGTATAAGTTCTTTTATCGTCAGTCCATAGACCAGATTTCAGATTTACATTCTGCTCTTAGTTCATTATGTAATATCTTGACCTTTTACTGCTTCTATATTATTATAGAAGCAACTTTCCAGAAGTTCTCCAGACTGTACAATTTGTATTAACCTAAGTATCCAGGTATTAGGGTTTCTTTTTGTCATTTTTGTTTTTGCTCATGAAAACGTGGTTCAAAACCAAATTGCATGTTGTTCATTTCAGAAAATGTCAAACGAAGGTGATGTTTTACTTTGAGAGGTGAATGTACACATTGAAATGGTATTGTTTTAGCACTGTGAGCTTTTTTTTTTTACAGATGTCGCAGCATGTGTAGTGAGGTATTGCTTAACTTTGACATATTTAGGAAGCTCTCGGCACATAACACTACTAAACAAATAGAAAGCCGATTCAGATACTACTCATGTGCAAGGTGAGAACTTTTTACTTTTTCCCTGAAAACATTGTGGCCTGTGCCACACATATGTGCATTAACCTGCTTTGTAAATGAAATGTTGCTGTAAATCAAGTTGTTTTTACAAGGTACAGGGTTGATGCCATGAGTGCTTAATAAGGAACAATTAAATAAATTAATTGTAAAATATGCAAAATTTAGTTTAAGGCACTTGGTATAGCAAATAAAGATACAAGCAGAACTGTATATTTCACTTTGTTTTCTAAGTGAAATATTCAGTACCTACTAGACAAATATAAATTCTGCTGCAATATGGATCAGACATTATGCCGCATGTCAAAAGTCTATCTACACAACACAAGACCATGACAGATCCATAAAAGCAAATAAGCATAAGCAAGTATCGTAATCATTGCTGTCAGTGGTATCCACTTATAATGTAAAAAAGCTGCCTTTTGTTTTTCCTTGACTTTTCTCTTTTGTTTTCCTCAAAGGGGTCATGAACTGCCTTTTTTTATTTTGTACTATTCTCTGAGGCCCACTTATAATGCTATCAAGATTTGTACATCAGAAAGCATAATTTAGAAGTAATAGGCTATTTTCTGTCCTGTTTTGACCCCCCTCATCAGATTGCTCAGTTTGAATAGGCATGGTGGATTATAAGTAAACGCCCACTGCTATGATTGGCTAACATTTGTGTATGTTTGACAGCCTACATCATTCACAGATAAATGATGTGGATCTATTATGTTAAAAACACATAAATACTCAGTACATATCAAATGATCTATAATAACACACAAAGCAATAGTGACCACATAATAAAAACAGTTACTCACACTTGTGT